CAAGGCTAGCACAAGCAGCATTCGCATTTTTTGATCCGCCAATAAAAATCTTCGGAAAGCAAAGTCCAGTGCGGATACGGAAGACCAGCTGATTTTTAATTCCCAGCCTGTAGGGCTGTGATGCTTGTACGTGTATACATGCGCCAACTAGTAATACAAGAAGCACTACCCACAAGCTATTCCAAAACTGCAAACTTGATGGCGGCAATAGGGAAACAAAACCTTTTGACAGGCAGGTTGATGGCTGCAAGCTGAAGTAGCATGTTACGTCTTATCTCTTGAACACCAAAAGAAACAATACAAACGTGATGCTGGATGACTGAAAACACAAAGTATGTAGTCAGTGTTGTGAATATAATTGTCTGCTTTCATCTTATGAGGGCTGTGGGAACATTCTGAACAAATTAGCCAGAATACCGCGGTATTGAACTTCAATACCGAATTAGTCAGTATTCCGGTATTCATGGATTGTTAGTCGGTATTGTTCGGTATTAAAAACAAAACCGCGGTATTCGGGAATACCGAAATACTGCCCAAGCCAAGTGGCCGCTGTACGGGAACATTAACCGTTGATTTTCAATCCCACCTTTATGTAAATCATTTGGAATTCTTCCTGCACATACACAAATAATTAATCTTCGCTCCAAGATGTCACAAGGGGCTGAAAGGAAGCTGTACCTGAGCCGTTTTACTGCTGATTACATAGCGAAATTGCGCACCATAAAATCACATGCACTCATAGAAAAGGACAAAACCCCAGAGGCCTATAGCTTGAAATTTCGCACAGCGTCCAAGAAGGCAGAAGAGAGTTTTGAAGAGTTCTCAACCCGACTTGAACTGTATCTTCGCCGATGACTGGTGCCAAAAGAAGAGACAGCAGTGTCTTCTGACTTCAAAAGGATGACACACCTCATCCTGATTGATCAGTTTTTATCATTAATAAGTAGTGATACTCTCCGTACAAAGCTGCAGGAAAAGAAGGTTGAGACTGTCCAGGCCCTTGCCCGGTTAGCCGATGAGCATGTTCTTCATCGCAAAACGTAAGCATCCTTCAAGCTCCAAGGAAGACCGCAGCCAACTTATCCAGCAGCCCAGTCAACAACAAATCGACAACAGGACACAAAACCTGAGAGTACAAATCAGAACCACAGCGCGATGTCCAGTGCACCTCAGAGGCGCACAGGAATGTTTGAGGCTGTATGCTTCCGGTGTCGCCAACTTGGACACAAAGTAGCAGATTGCCCCCTCCAAACCCTAACGAGGCCAACGCCAACCGTGAAACAGGCATCTAATGTGAAGCCGACCAAGTCCGCAGACAAGACTGTTAAGTCTACTGAGGAGTCCCAGGTGAATTTTGGCTGAGACAGGCAAGGACAGTGGTGGCCTGTACATCATTGCGAGAGTGAATGGTCGCGACGTGAAGGCGTTACTGGACACCGGTTCTGCCATTTCACTCATCGACGAAGAACTGTGTATCGATCTGGGGTTACCTGTTACCCTGGGGTCCTCCCTAGGACCGTTAACCACTGTAGATGGCACCAAGTTCTACACTTTCGGTGTTGCTGTTGACAGAATTGAGGTCACCGGAGTTGACGTTTCAGTGAATCTCTATCAGGTCCAGACACTGCCTGTGTCAGTGTTGCTGGGAAGAGATTTTCTTCGACAGGCAAAGTTGCTGATCGACTTCGAGGACAACTCCTACTGGATTGAATCTGGCCCAGACGAGCCCCGTCTCAAGTGACCCCTTCTGATCCAGGACGCAGAGGGGAACCCGACTGCTGATGTTGCGGAGCCCCCACCCCCTTGCCTAGTGAGGTGACACCGGAGATATGTGCTGTTGACACTACGGAACCAGTTGCAGAGCAATTGTCCGATACTGATATTTTAGCCGAAATGAGCCAGCTCTGTGAGGAGTATCCTGAAGTCTTCCCAGAGACACCGGGCAGGTCTGCCCTTATCTACCACAACACTGATACAGGGACTGCAAAGCCTATTCGAGGTCCAGTCTACCGTTTGTCTGCTGACCGACAACAGTCACTTAGGCGCCAACTGTAGGATATGCTATCTGACGGTCGCATTGAGTCTTCGTTCTCGCCATGGGCCTCACCGGTCATGATGGTCCCTAAATCTCAGCTTGGCAATTACCGGCTTTGTGTTGACTACAGAGGCCTCAATTGTGTCACAAAAATTGAGACGTACCCGATGCCGAACATAGACTCCATCTTAGAGTCCCTGCATGGTGCCACTGTCTTTAGTTCCCTTGATCTGAAGAGCAGATCCCACCAGATGGTCCTCACCCCTGATCATCGGGAGACAACAGCATTTGTTTGTGAAGAAGGCCTGTATCAGTTTACAGTGTTGCCTTTTGGGGTTGTTAATGGGCCGGCAAGCTTTCAGCGTTTGCTGGAGGTAGTCCTGCAAGGCCTCATCGGGAAGATCTGTTATGTCTACTTGGACGACATTGTCCTCATCACCAGCCCAACACCTTGAAGATCTCCGCCAAATTCTAGATCGGTTGCAGGAGGCAGGGTCGACGGTGAACTACAAGAAGTGTTCCTTTGGGTGCAGGTCAATGGTTTATCTTGGTCACGTGATTGGCGGAGATGGGCTTCGCACTTCACCAGAGAAGGTTCAGGCAATTTTTGACTACCCTGTTCCAAGGAATCGCAAACAGCTGGAGAGGTTCTTGGGAATGATTTCCTAGTATGGGAAGTTTATTCCTCACCCTGCCACTCTTCCTGCTCCATGGAACCGTCTTAGACAGAAGACAGTTGCATGGGACTGGACAGAGGAGAGTTCCACATCTTTTGGGGAGTTGAAGCACGTTCTTGCATCAGAGCCAGTCCTGTATACGCTGACTTGAGTCGGCCGTTTGTTGTTCACACCGACGCTAGCGACTCTGGGCTTGGTGCAGTCCTGCTTCAGGGGTCCAATGGAGAGCTATGTGCAGTTGCATATGCGAGCCGTTCCCTGGATGCACCAGAACGGAACTATAGCACCACTGAGCGGGAGTGTTTGGCTGTCGTGTGGGCGCTTGAGAAGTGGAGGATTTACTTAAGGGCAAGAGGTTTCAGGTTGTCACGGATCACCAAGCTTTGACATGTCTCTTTCGGAAGGCTCGTCTGGCTGGCAGACTTGCAAGTGAGTTTTAAGGTTGCAAGATTTCACCTTTGATGTCACTTATCGGCGTGGTGTGCATCATGTTGTGCCAGATGCGCTTTCCCGGGTTCATGAGGCTTCATTAGTTGGTATTGTTCATCACAAGGCTCCTCATCAAATTTCAGACGGTGTTGATAGTCAGTTGCCACCATCAGGTGTCCCTGACACTTCCTTGCAGAGTGATGGTAGTAATGAGGGTGACTGTGCTGCTTCACGTTGTTTGCGGCTGTCTGATGATGTCATCAACCGGACCCAGTGTGATGGTTGCCAGCAAGGGTACCAAATGGCATGTGTCCACATTAGACGGAAACAGGCCGTTGATTTGCCCACATATTCACGAATATCTGCTGGTGGTGGTTGAGTATTATTCTAAATGGGTGGAAGCTATTCCGATCCGCAGGGCCACAGGCAGAGAGGTCGCCAGTATAATCGTTAGACAGCTTTTCTGCAAATATGGCGCTCCCAAGAAGTTACTCTCTGACAACGGGTCGCAGTTCACCTGTTAGGCTCTTGCAGCAGTTTGCCAGGAATGGGGGTACGGCAACTGTATATCTCCCCATATCACCCGCAGAGCAACTGGGTCGAGAGAGTTAACAGAAATCTGAAGGGCATGATGCATGCTTATGTGGGAGATGATCATCGCACATGGGATGTGCATGTCGCTGAGTTCTCCTTCGCTTTGAACACTGCCAAGCATGAGACGACTGGAGTTCCACCGTCCCGGCTGGTGTTTGGTAGACATCTTGTTAGTTCAGTTGGGAATAGATGGAGCACCGTGGACCATGACATCCCGGAAGACGAGTCTGAGCCGAGACAGCAGGTGGAGACACAGCGGCAACAGGCCAAGCAGAAGCAGAAAACACACTACGACAAGCGTAGACGTCCCCCAGCTATTGTGGGAAAACCAGCAAGTTATGGTCCGTACTCATCCCAAGTCAGATGCACAGTCTCATTTCAGTGCCAAGCTGGCTCCGCAGTGGCATGGT